CACACACGTATGCGCGTGCGCACACACACACAAACAAATGCAACCCCCCCCCACACACACACAACCAAAAAAGTCCACTCTTTATTGCAATACCTGCCTCTTGGAATGCCTATTTTAAAAGTCTGAAACTGCAATATTCACAGGAGAATAAATCTTGTCTTTGGAAAGAACCTGTGCCTAGCCACTCTCATTTGCAAGTGAAACTCTTACTGCAACAATCCTGCAATAATCCAAGAATCCTCAACGTTATTAGGATGCAGTCTATATGATCAGTGGAAGTGTTCCCATCAATTACAATGGAAGGTGAAATGTGCTCATGATATATTGTTTTTGTGAATACCATGATTTGCTTGGGCTCAATTCAGATTTTTTTTAACCATTGGTGGTTTGATGGGAACCACAGAGTTTTTAATTTTTCTCTGTTTCTTTGCAGGGAAAGAATTTTAAAGACAATCTATTGACTAGGCTGTTGTTCAGTATCTAGAAGCCTGACCCAAACATGTTACACAGAAGGGATTTAAGCAGAATTTAGTTACATATAGTGTTCGTTATCCAGAACTCTTTGTGTATCTTGATGTTTACATAGAATACTTTGCATGCACATACTGCTTTGTTCATTTCAACAGATAAGACTGCACAGTGCACATGCCTTATGTGCCTCTGCATACATATCTCTGCATGCGCACCAAAGCTCCTACATCTGCAAGGAATCACTCGTGAATACATTTAAGGCTGTAATTCTAAGCACATAGGCTTGGGGAGTAAGAAATGCATGAAACATTTAGCAAGGCTTGCTGAGATACTACACTTTATTCAGAGTCAGACCATGGGTCCATCTAGTCCAGCATTATATACTCTTGCCACCAGCTCTCCAAGTCTTCATGGCTCAGATCTCAGCCAGTCTTTCTCACAAAGATCCCTTTAAGCAGAAATGCTGAGCAGAAATTTAAGTCCCTTATCCATAAAAACCATGCATTCTAATGAGCTGTAGACTCTATAGCCTTTTCTATATGCCTTCTCAGTGTGGTGAAGGATTAGAACTCAGGGCAGCAAAAAAGGCATGTGTAGCGCAAATAACTAAAAGGGACAAAATGGAACAATCCCTATGTGTTATGGTCCGGACTGGAGCTGAGTAAAAAACCCCAGAAGTATCACTTAGATCCAGAGATGCAACCCCACATCCAAAGTGTTGCAATAAAAAAAGGTGCAAGAATATTTAGGGTCTGATCAAGCTCTGCAGCAGCATTTTCGAAAAAATGAAGTTGGCGTGAGTGCTGTGGAACGCTGCAGCAACATCAATGTTGTTATTTATGGTACCACTAAATCATATTAAAATATAGTATACTGGGCTACAGTGTGATAATACTATGTTTAAGCAATTACTTTTGCTGCCTAAGATTCATGACTGCCACACAGGCAAAAAAACAATAACAAAAAACCCCTCTGCCTACTAACTTAATGGGAAACATTTTCAAAGGCAAAATTACAGCACGGCCAAACCATCTTATTTAGTATGTGGTGTGATGACTGTGCTTGCTGTGCTGCTGTTCTGGGGTTTCCCTTAACCTCTTTGATGAACTGTACTGCCTGTTTGCTTTAAGGATGCCATGATAACTACACATCATTTTAAAGGCATCGTATTGACAGAATCTTCCTTGTCACAAGGAATATGTGCCAGATGACACTATGGAATTCAAAAACAGCATTGTATGTTGTAAACGTCCCTTGATCTAGTGGAGCAACTAGCAGAATGTCATTTGCTAATGGCAAAATCCTAAACTGAGCGACACCCTTGTTGGCCCATTGACTTCAGTGAAGCTAGACGGGTGTAACACTGTTTAGGACTGCACTCTAAGACAAGGAGAGTATCTTGTTCATATGTGAGTTACTTGTTCATACAAAGCCTAAACCCATAGGTATGATATGTGAATATTGCCTACATCTTTAATAGTAGCTGCCGGCTCATCTAGACTGATGTTCTTAAACAAGGATTAGACAATTTTTTCAGGACAGGTCTATCATTAGCTAAATGGAACCTCCATGTTCAGAAGCAATATACCTCTCAGATAAAAACAAGGAATGGATATCACAGTCTTGCTCCAATTGGGGCTTCTGACTGCCTGTTTCTGGAGGTGCATTTTTGGATGGGTACAGCAAGGCAATAACTAGGTTCTTACGTTATATAGACATAAATATAGAAGAAGCACATCTGGAGCTTTGCAAATCCCACTGCATCAGACATGACAAAAAAGGATGTGCGAGTTGCTCAGGCTCCTTCTTTTCCATTCCTGTGTAATGCATGATGTACTGGGAATGTCTTTGTGTCCCATGAAATGTAGGCTGTCCAGATGCAATGGATGACAGCCTTTCTTTCTGTGCAAAACAGGGAATTTGAGCCACTGCTAAATTTGTCTTCCCAGTGTAACAAGCTGCCCCTACTCAGAGACAGACTGGCCCCACAAACTGGCCTCTTGGCTCAGCTACTTTCAGGACTGTTTTAATGTTCCAGTCCAATCTTGCCCATAGAGAAATTTCTTCCTTGGTCCAACTAGTAAATGACAGAAGCTGTTCCCTGCTTTTCATCTGGTCACTCTAGCAAAATGAGTTCACTAATAGTCTACCTTTTAACAAGATGGCAGGAAAAGTTAAGCTGCAAAAACATATGTGTGTGCACAGCACTATTCTTTGTATGAGGCTGCTTGCAATCTTTATTGGATTTCAATAAATATTTTTGTTACCGATTCTGGCTTTTGGCTTGCTAACTATTGAGCTGGTCCCTGGTCACTGGACCTTTAAAAGACGTTTGGTCTGAATCAATTAATGATGTGTGATCCCGTTTTACGCCATGCTATGAAAAGGCACACCTGCTGCTTTATGCCAATCAAATGTCTGTTAGAGGTTGGGATTTTTTTCCTGGTCTGTTGGCAAACTTTTTTATTTTCCATTTGTTGTGCAGCATCATGTTTTGTTTCAATGCATCTCTTGTTCCAACCATTCCAACGGCAATATTTTGCACACGTCATTTTCTGTTGAGATAGTTTTATAGAATGCAAACGGCAGACGAGCACTGCGATGGGAAAAATGGGCTGTTTTCCCTTCCTTGTGATTTTCTACAACCCAGTCCTATGCCTATTTACTCAGATGTCTGTTTCGTTAAGTTTAAGTCAGTGCATATTGGATTGTGCCCTTGAAGGCACAGTAGTATTCTCAGGGTTTCGTAGACTTCAGATCCACTGTGGTCAGTTTAAAAATTAAGGGCCGTTTAATGCATTATGTGGCAGCAATCCAGGGATTACTGTCAAGAGTTTACAAACACGTTGGTCACATTCACACTTTATATCTATGTATCATAATTTTAGACCTCCTTTCCAGCACAGAAGGTAGGGTTGTTTATGTGTTGCCTCCCTCACCCATTTTATCCTCACAATAACCCTATGAACTTCATACTAAGTGGGGATTTGGACCAGAGTGTGTCAGATCTTAATACAGTTTTCTAACCACTACATTACATTGGCTGTTGCTTGAATCAGCTTAAGGGGGTACACTTACATCATTTTAGGGTGGAATTAAATGTTCTGAGGCAAATGTATAGTTCTGATCCCATGTTTTTCTACTAATGCTGCTACTTTGGGGGCAGGGCCGGGCCACCTCGCAGGGCTCTTTTTGTAGCAGGAACTCCTTTTCATATTAAGCAACACACCCCTAATGTAGCCAATCCTCCAAGAGCTTACAGTAGCCCCTGTAAGAAGAGCTCTGTAAGCTCTTGGAGGATTGGCTACATGAGGGGTGTGTGGCCTAATATGCAAAGGAGCTCCTGCTACAAAAAGAGCCCTTGATTGCAGTCAGAACGGAAGACAGGACGGGGCTGCTTAAGCTTTTTCCTGTCTGCTGATTCTCCCTACAGGTCTTCATAGGGTTGCCAACCTCTAGGTGGTGGCTGGAGACCTCCTGGGATTACAACTGATCTCCAGGCAACGAAGAAAATGGCCGCTTTGGAAGGTGGACTCAGTGGCATTATATTCCATTGAAGTCCCTCCCCTTCCCAAACCCCATCCTTCTCAGGCTCCACCCCCAAAATCTCTAGGCATTTCCCAACCCGGAGTTGGCAATCCTAACTGTTCACCGTAGCCTGATTCCACCCCCCCCCCCGCTATACTGGAAATGACAGTGGCTTGGAAGGGGTAATGGGGGGGAACTGGCAGGTAGGAGAAGGATGAAGGAACTTCTTCCTTCTCACCAGTTCTCTTCTGCAAATTTCTCCCCTCTGTCTTAATGTCAGCTGTCAAACGTGTGTTTTGCCACACTGGCATGTGTGGCCATCCTTAGGTGTAGACCTAAAATTGTAACATGAAGTAACATGAGGCAACATGAAGTCCAGACCAAAACGAGGAATATCAGACAACTGAAGTTTAGATATTAAAGCGTCCGTCCTGCCTTATTCTCTTGTCTTCTAGGACTTGTTTATTTGCATTTACAGGAGTTTACTTTCCTTTAACATGTAGCACAGTTAACTAAGCTGCATCTTATATGGCACATAGTGAATCAGGTTCTGTACTCGTGTGGGAGCAAGTTAAGTGCCAGCCATGCTTTTTGAATTAAAAATACATTAATGTTTTCTTTTTATGAATAGGCCCCATAGAGTTCTGAGCCCGCCTTTTGAATTTTTTTTACACATTTAAGTTTATATTTTATTCTGAATTGAAAAGAACATTATGGTTGTCTTGACTACTAAAGAAGCGCATTGCTCAGAAGATGTGCATAATGCATCGGTTAAAACAGAAGAACAACGAAAGCGAAGCTCTCTTCTCAGCTTCTGCTGCTCTCTATCAACAAATCTCAAGGCAATTTCTGCAAAGAGGCTATCTATTTAAGCAAAGCCAACTGTCTTGCCATGTAGTAATGCATTCATGGACTGTGTCGGGGATCATTTTCTCGAGGCACATTCAGTTTGCTGCTAAAATATCTACATCTATCTACATTCCCCTGTCTTTTCTTTCTAGGCGATAGTATACGAAGGACAAGACAAGAACCCCGAAATGTGCAGAGTTCTGCTCACCCATGAAATAATGTGCAGGTAAGAAAGAGCCTGTCACTTTTTAATTAGCTACAAGAAAATGAAATTCTTTCTTAAAAACTAGGTTGATCTGGATGCTATTTTAGGTAGCTGCCATCAATGAGCCCAAAATAACATGGTTTTATGGGCATAATTAGCAGCAACGTTGCACTCATCACCCACGTATTTTCATTATTTATTAGAGCTTAATTCTAAACAATCTATGAGTGGTTTTCATTTAGACACTGAGCTCTTAATGGCGATAGAAAATGGCTTGGCACCAAAAATGATAGCATCTAAATTGCAGCCCTTGGAGGAGGAGTAATGATCCAGTATGATCTCGACAGCAAAGTCCTAAGGTAGCTCATATGGCTACTGCCAGTGGACTTCAGTCAGATGGACTGAAACGTACAAGAGATTGTCCTTGCAGTTTATGGTAGTTTCCCCTTGGCAGTGAGATGTCAGATAGACTGCTTGTGGAGGAATTAGGGGCCAGGGAAGGGTATACAGTCTGTGGTCAAGGTGATGATGTCCATAACGCAGATAGAGGGCCTGGATGCCACAAGGACCTGCATGCTTAAGCTTACTATGGCTTATGGCTTTCAATGGCACCATTCATGGTAGCAAATTTACATCCATTTCTTAGACTTGGGCAAGGGATCATTGGCTCTTCTGTACAAGGTTGGTTCTTGTCTGGAAATCTTTCCATACATCTCTTTCTCCTGTGGCTGGCTTCTTTGAATCTGGCGGGACTAAGCAACAACTGCTCTGCTACAGCTATTTTGAAACAAATGGCAGAATTTTTTTTATTTTGCAGAGTTATACTTTGCTCGGGGTTCCATGAAGGCTCACAGGAAGCTTGCCAGTATTGCAACCCTCCCATAA